GCTGAGGGCAAGGGTATATTCTATCTTCTTTAGACAGATGTGAAACCTGAGATGGAAGTACGTATTAATAATTATTTTGCTTGCCGAAGATTTTAAACACACAACAAAATCAAAACTGAAGCAGGTAAATTTTAACTGCTAGAGCCTCTGAAGGCATTGGTGACTTAACCAAATTCATTTTGGCTATTTCTACATTTCATTTTTTGAGATTTCTTGCATGGATCCTAATTTTTACTGTTAAAAACAATGTAGCAATTGATATCTATGTAGCATACATTCTTGCTTTCCGGTATTTTTTATAGCAAAAAAAATCATAGAAGTTGCATTGCTGAATGAAAGGAAATACACATTTAAAACTTTGACAGGTATTGTCAAATTGATCTCTCCCCCCCCCAAAAAAAAATTACAGTTGACACTTGGACAACATGGGTTTGCACTGCACAGGCCCACTTATACATGGAGGATTTTTTTCAATAAACACTGTAAATGTATTTTCTCTTCCTCATGATTTTCTTAACATTTTCTTTTCTCTAGTTTACTTTATTGTAAGAATACCATCTATAATACATATAACATACAAAATATGTGCTAATCGACTGTTATTCGTAAGGCTTTTGGTCAAGAGTAGGCTATCAGTAGTTAGTTTTGGGGGGAATCAAAAGTTATACTTGGATTTTCGCTGTGTGTGGGGTTGGTCGGCACTTCTAACCCCTGCTCTGTTCAAGGGTCAACTGTGTTCTTGAAATAGCTACATGTGTCAAGTGCTACCATGTGCCTAGCTCTGTGCTAAACACTTTGAATGTGTTACCTCATCCACTCTTTGAAAAAAAGCCTATAAGGAAACAGTACCTGGTTTATATATGGGAACACAGACTTAGCAGGATACATGCAGCCAGAAGGCAGCCGGCTCAGGACTGGAGCCCAGTTTATATCCTATCAACAGAGGATGGAGGGGCCTACCTCCCCACACCCTTGTGAGAATAGGCGTGCTAGCAATCTTTATGTTGCCAATTTATTTATTTATTTTTTAAAGACTTTTATTGGGGAAATGGGGGGATGGGAACAGTGCTGGGGAATTGGGGGACGGGGAACAGCAAGTTGCTGTCGTTTTGTTCTTCAGTCTAGTTGTGGAGGACGTTGCTT